AAAAATGCGTCTTGGTTCATTATTGTTTATTTGTGTTTGTTTGCTTTGGGGACCAAGTTATTTAATAAGAATCTGTGTTAAGTGTATCACTGATACTTGCTCTTTCTTTTGTTATAAAATTCAATGAAAATATTTCTTTAAAAAAAAAAGCGTCTTGGTTTCAGAGTCAGAATCAGAATAAGGTGTTTATTATTTATCATTTTATTATTTATTTATCACTTCTGGAACAGCCTCCCAACAAACATCAGGGAAGGTCCCACTTTTTGCACATTTAAAAAGCACCTTAAGCTGTTTCTCAAGAGTTCCCAGACATGCACTCACTCATTTTAATTTTGTAATGTCATTGTGTTTGGACTGATATTATATTTTGTGATTTTGTGTTGTTTTGTCTTGATGTAAATTAGCAACTATGCTAGAATCTGGCTCATTTACAATCTGTACTGAAGTGTAAGATTGTTCATTAATGTGCACTGTCCGGATTAAATAAATAAATAAATAAATAAATAAAAATATTGCCAAGTAGGTTTTTGACTTACAAGGAATTTACCTTGGTGTTTGGTGCACAACACTTCCATGAGAAGCAAGGAAGGAAATACAATGTAGAAATACAAATATAGAACAGAAATTAGAAAAATAAAACGTACAAAATTTAAAAATATAGATCTGAATGTACAAATGAACAATTGAAATGTGCAATGTTTGAGCATCAAAGCACCATGAGGAGTAATCCTCCACATCTACTGAAACAGATCTGAACCAGTTATGTCTGAGAGACGAATTTAAGGGTTTATTAGATTATTATTATTGTAGGATCGAGCCATCAGGGACTCCTCTGAGTGTTTAAGGGTCAAAGGTGAGAACGTCTGAGACTAAATCAAACTATTTGACCCGTTTTTAGCTGTGATGAAATGCAGCAAAAAGAAAAAAGAAAAGAAAACACAGAGAGAGACATTTTCTTATATAACCTTTATTTCACATGGCTTCACACTGTTTTAGTTTCAATGTAAATTTCAGCTTTTTTCCTCCAGAATCAGCTCTGATTTCCACTAAATGAACTATGTTGCTGCTATTTTGTGCTGAAACCAGTCGACTAAAAGCTGGAACTCAGAGTTGTGCAGCATTTTAGATATCTAGATTTTAAATGTGAGCAATTTGACTCAAAAAGGATTAAAAGATGTCAGTTTTTCCACAAGAAGCTGGAAAAATCACACAAAATTAATATGGGAACCAGATCAATTACTATAATAAATCACAATATATCAAATTTAGACATAAATTTCTGCCTTTTTCCTCCAGATTCAGCTCTGATTTCCACAAATTAGCTAATTTTACTCAAAAAGAATGAAAAGATGTCAGTTTCTCCACAA